TATATATATATATTTCCAGTTCTTTTTTTTAAAAATTTCTAGTTCTTGAGAGTTTATTACTTCAACAATTAAGCCTCAACTTTAAGTTTGTCAGGGCGGTATATATGAATTTTCACTATACATTTCACATTTGTTATTCCCGGTACACTAAGCTTCCGTTGTGCGTCGGGTCCAAGGAAAGGCCGGACCAGAAGAGTCTAGTGTACGCAACCTATTCTGCATTTCTGCAAGAGGCTATTTCTATAGCTAGAAGTCTAGAACCCAAAACCTACTGGTCACATGGCAGTAACTTTACCAGTTACGCTAAGACTCCCTTCACACGAGTATATATATCTATAATAATTAATTAAGTTGCATAGAGAAATGTTTACCTTGAAGAGTTACTCCAAAGACCACGATAATTATCTTTCTCTTGTCGTCCACCTTGTTGAACTGATAATTCAGACTTTCCTGAGTTTTGAATGTCAAGCACTAATTCCTCTGAATTATTATCCCCAGATGATCCATTATCAAACACCTCCGATTGGCCTAAAAACATTCAAAGGGAAGGAAAAAAAAAGAGACTATATAATCAATTTTGCTTCACATATAAAAATATTAAAAAGTATATGAAGTTTATGAGTTTCTATAACGATTTCAAGTTAACACTACAATAACAGTGTTCACAATGAAAAATTGATAAATATTTATATACAAAATCGGAACAAAAGCTACTGAATTCACATGAAATCTTAACTAACGCTCTAGATCCGCCCTTGCTTGTTAGTACTCATACTTTATAGTAATATTTACTCTTAAAATTACCCTGTAATGAACATTTCAATCATAACGGAGAAAAAAAAACAATCAATATCTATATTTCTCAGACTGTCCAAAAATATCTAGGATCTTGTCGGTTCCTTCAAAAATATATTATTTTTGGAGGATATAACACGCATGTGGCAACATTTGGATACCGTGCTACATATCTTGCCGGTACTCATATTTTATAGTAATATATATTATTCTTAAAAATACCCTGTAAATTGTAATGAACAACCATTCATAACGGAATAAAAAAACAAGTACTTTCCAAAAATATCGTGGGACTTTCGGATTCCTCTAAAAATAGTGTATTTGAAGGATCTGATACGTATGCAGCAATATTTTTGGAGTCCGTGCTACATAGCTTGCCTAGTACTCATATTTTATAGTAATATTATATTCTTAAAAATACCCTATAATGAACAATCAGTCATAACGAAAAAAATATATATAAGTCAATATACTAATTAAAATGTATTTTGCACCTGAAGAAGCTGCTCCAGCTGCTGCTTTATCAGTTGTCTTCACCGTCCGATACATCTACAAAGTTATACCAACAGCTGATAAGCAACATAATACAAAATTATCGTTTTTAACTTTTATGCATGGATAGTGAAAAAGAATTTAATGCTATCATATCATCTAAAAAATAACTATATGTAACCGTTCATATAAGCAAGACTAGTAACATATGAAAAATAATACAAATTATTTGCTATAATATGTTAAATTATACTGATATAGCAAATGTATACTATAGTACTATGCAAAAGCGGACTCAGGATATGAAGGTGGCGGGGGCACATGAGCGAACTGCTCAACCAGTGTCCTCGTTGGACTTTTGAGTTTAAGGGTTATAAGCAAAATATATGATCGTTTTTAACATATACACTTATATATTTAAAAACTTTGCTGAAATTAACGTGGTCCGGTAACCTCTATTCCCGAAGCATAGGTCCGCCTCTGATGCTATGTAAGTTAATATCCTAAAATATAACTACATACTCTTTTCTTTTATTTTGTAAAGTAACGCCAAAAATCATATACATAACATAAAGGGGATTTTGGGGATGGTATAAAATCCACAAAGGGCATTTTCACTATGTGATGATAGCTGTTTGTACTTTCTTATTATTAGCCATATCTTTCCTTCTGTAAAAAATCGAGGAGAGTACACAATTTTAATTCTAAAAATAATGTGCCTAAATTTGTCTTATACGCTCCATCTCCACTGGATGATTTATATATATACATATATAAATTCGTTAAAATTATAATAAATATTAAATTTGAACTCATTCAATGTTAAAATTTTTGGAGGTCGAACTCGTCAAATATCAATCCTGATTGCACACAACCCAGGGGAAGCTACGTTGGGTTAAGGGTGGTCAATTGACTACCGATAGTAGAAAAATCACATTGTGTATATAGATAAAATATTAAATTTTAGGGTATGTTACGTATATTGAACACCTTTTATCATGGAATTTTTTCCTCTCCTTTCAAGTTTGAACACCCTTGAAAAAATTTCCGACTTCGCCGCTGCACACACCCCACCTCCACCCCCACCCCCAAACTACCCCTCTTCCCTGAGACTTTTGCAGTTTAAGATAATCTTTAAACTGATGTGTCTGATGTTATTATTGATGAATCATTATGAATAAGACTTTCTCTCTCTCTCTACTTTTATTGAACTGAGTCTTTCTTCTTTTTTCCTTTTCTTTTACTTAATAGAACTTGTACTGCTACTACATCAGTTTACATGAATAAATATATGGTTCATTATCCCATGCAAAATAAAGCTGCAAAAATAGGGTCACAGAACCATCAGATCTACTAAGTAGAAAAAGAAGTTTTGAGAATTTTGATAGAGGAAAAAAAAACTTTAAAAAATGTACTATTAAAAGAGGCATTGGAATTTGAAATGTCTGTGGAAATAAACATCTTTCTGATGATCGATGTAGGCTATTGTCCAAAGTACTAAAGAAAACCATAGCCTTTTGTTAAGACTCCAAAAAGATAATTTTACTCAAACATATTACTATTCAAAATTTGAAAACTTAGCCTTTTTTCGAGACTCCAAAAACACATCCTCCACTCCGTTCCAGTTTAGGTGAACTTATTTTCTTTTTGGTCCATTCCAAAAAGAATGATCCGTTTTTAAATTTGAAAACAATTTAACTTAAACTTCCAATTCTAGCCTTAGCGAAAAGCTTTTATAATCACACAAATACTCTAGACCCTTTTTTGACTTATTTAGGACCACAAATTTTAAAAAATCTTCATTTTTTCTTAAACTCCGTGTCCAATCAAATAGGTTCATATAAATCGGAACGGAGGGAGTACTTATTATTTGGACATCAAAATGAAGAGAGCGGCTCTTTCGGGTGATCTGGTTGAGTAGGGGACTTCCCAAGTGGAAGGTCCAGAGTTCGAAACGCACTTGCATTTGAACTTATCGCAGCGAGGTTTACCCTGTGCGATCCGAAGGAAAGCGGCTGCGAATTCGCTTATTAACCAAAAAAAAATGAAGAGAGAGAGTGAATAAAAGTTTTTTGTTCAAGAATTTACCTGTAAATGGGATTTAACATGTGCCAAGGTGAGATCTTTCACGTCCATAAGCTCAAGAACTGACTTGGGTGTTGCTCCTACATTCCCAAAAAACAAAAACAAAAATGAAATATAGTTAATTAAGCTCATAATACTAGCTTTTCTCATAAAGTTTAACTACTACACACTAACAATAATAATAGTCAATAAAAACTTAGACCAGTAATCTAAATAATAAGATAATTTTTTTTACAGATAACGCCAAAGATTGTAGCACTACTATACAACAACCACAACAATAACAATTTACCCAATATATTTTCAACAGGTGAGGATTTTTGCACTACTATATATAAGTTAAATTATTTTTTCGGTGAGTTTACTTTTTTACACTGAAAGCAGACAGCGAAAAACAATTTACGCTATTATATCACTTAGATAGCAGTCCATAAAAATTGGGATAAGTAATGTAACTTGTAAAATAAAACAGATTACTTACTATAACAGGTTAAAATACACAAACCACTTAAAAGACCTTGTATATAAGCTAAATCCATTCTCAATAACAATGAATTTAAAGGTTAAATAAATATTTAAGCAGAAAAAAACCTACTTTCATGTCCACCCAAGAGCTCAACAGCATGAATAAAACGAGCATGAAGAGTACTAGTCCACCTCATTCTTGGAGCTCTCATACTTCTTTTAGCTGGAAATCTTGACATAAATCTTGATCTAATTAGCCCATTTTGATGATAAAGATGGGATTGAAAATGGCTATGGCTATTTGATGAAGAGATTGTATGGTTATAATTGAAAGAACTAACAGAAGATGGTATAGGTAATGTAGTTGTAGTATTAGTATTATCATATGGAAAAATAGGGTTTTGATTATAAACTGGAACTCCTCTTATAGGGTTTAGTACTTGATTTTGATGTAAAGAGCGGATGAAATTTGTGTTAGCATTTTGGAGATGATGGAAATATTGGCTAGAATTAGGTTTTGGATTAATATTTGATGATAAAGATAGCTCAAAACAAGAAGAATTATTGATATTATTATTATTATTGGATGAGTTTCTTGATTCCAAAGCTCTTTTCCAAAAACCTAAATCCATTTCTTGATCTTCATTAGTACTATTACTTGTACTTCTCTTCCATGATGATGATGATGAGGGTTTGTTATTTGGAGGGCTAATTTGTAGGGATAAGTCCGGTTGCGCGGGGAATAACTCCATCTTTTTTTCAAGAAATAAGGATATAAAGAATTAGTAACCTGAAAAATAAGACAGATTACGAATAACTCATGATCTTTCTCCCTTTTCAATCTTGTTTGTTGTCTCTTGTGTTTGTAAGTAGGTTATTATAAGGACTATTTATCAATAGTATATATGAGTAGTGTAAAGATATGTAGAGAGAAAATTTGGGATTTTCTTGAAATGGGATTTGATGATGATCAATTGAAGGAGAGTGAGTAGTTGTTGGGATTTGAGATTGAGAGAGAAAGGGGAGGAANTAGTTGGAGGGGGGTGGGGGTTTGATTCTTGTGTGGACATGGGGTAAGATGAAAAGGAAGAAAAAAGATGAGGAGAAAAAGGAAAAGTAAAATAAGTTTTGTGACTTTGGTTCCTTTTTACTCCTTTTTCCTTTTTTTAACTTTTTGGTTTTAATCCTAGCATTCTTTTGGGAAAGAAAAGGAATATTTTTGTGCAAGCTTTTATGTGTGCATTTGTCCCTCAATAATTCATATTTACCATTTTAATTAAAGTTAGTAATAGTTATAACTTTAAGAGTTTAAAGTCAATGCACTAATAATGTACAACTTCTTTTTACACTCAGGTAAAATAATATATATAACAATAGGGTAACTATTTGTTATAATTTTAATTCGGTAACCTAAAAAAATATAGTAACAACCTGTAATAATCGATTAAGAAAATACTAATAGTTTAAAAAGTATATATAGTGTCATTGTATATAAGTTAATATTTACGTTAATTAGAAACCAATGGTTGTTGAAGCGCCTATATCAAATTAATATTTACATGAAAGTAATGATTAGACAAAAATTTCCAAGTACTAATTACTCCTAAATCATCTAACAATCATTATCATTATGATAATCCCTAATTAAATCATTTATCTCACATCTCTTTCAAAGAAGTTCAGAACATTATAGGACATACTAGTTAAAAATGTTTCATCAAAAGCTTGAACATGGAAGTTTTTTATTAGGAAAATGACAATGTATAGCCGCTCTCAAAATAATAGTTGGAAAAAATATATATTTTTTGTATAATTATTTGGATATATATAGCAAGATTGCCCAAAAGAGTCGCAACAAACTTACATTTTTCCAGAGGAAGACGCTTGTACATAAAAAAAAAATTCACCTCCTTTTATTATACAACAGTGGTGTTTAATCTGAATTAGTCTGCGCGCACCTCGATAATTTTACCGGAATACTGCTACGTACCTCTTACCAACATAAGTAGTAAATAACTCTAACCACCAATTTGACAGATGAAAATAAATCAGCAATATTTTAATCTCATCTAAAATTTTAATTTTATCGTAATTTTCACTCATCTATGGACGGATAGGTGATAGACCACTGATGCTCCCACTAGGATAGACTGTCTACATTATATATATTTGACCCTGCATAAATGCGGGATGCTTCGTGTACCGAGCTGCCTTATTAGGCGATAGGCCATATCTTGGGTGCTACCCTTGTTTTTATTTTTTTGGTGGCTACTATATTTCAGGAAAATTACACCATATGTATTTTTCCGTTGTGGAATTTTTTGGAGACTCATATTTGCTTTTTTGTTGTAAATGCATGAAATTATTATTTAACCAAAAATAGGTCTTTCGGTCAAATTTTAATTTTAGGAGAAAACGGGTTACTGATCACCAAGTTTAGCTTCACTTTCTCAGTGGTATCAAAGTAAAATAATAAGAATAATTAAGGAAATAATTGATTGTAAAGATAAAGTAGAGAATTTCGAGAAACCAGAAAAGTAAAGTGTATATTTCAATATTGCATCAGATGTCCTTATAAGTGAAATTCCTTCCTCTTATTTAGGTTTACAAATATAACGTTTCCTTCCATTTATGGCTAAATCATTATGAGCTTTAATGGTATTAATGATCCGTTATAATTGACAATTGTAACTGTTCACGAGAATTTTGTAACAATTCTGATTCCCCCTTCTCAGTACTTGAAGGTTCGTGAATCTTTTCTTTTTACTGTCTTGACTCATTCCGCCCGTGCCTCTTCATTGACTTATTTAGGCTTTGTTCATACCTTTTGTAACTCATTCCTCTTTTATATTATAATATTCCAATTGTCTTCTTCTCATGGTTTCATGTATTATATCCTTCATGCCAAATGTAATTCCACGTGTATTTTTTATTTCCCACCAATATAATTATGTGCACACAAAGCTTAGCTCAATCACTAATTGCTAAGGCATAATTAAATTCTTGTAAAAACCTATTTCACTTCTTATATTTGAAGTCCACTATTACTTTAATCTGATTATATTTTGATACTCATTGTTATATTAATGAAGTACAGCCAAATTATATTTCCTTTGTCCCAGTTTATGTGGCGAAGCTCAGATTCCGGGAGTCAAACTTTTTAATTTTGACAATAAATTTGGATATAGAAGTATAACAATTCGAAATATCTAAAAGGTATATGAAAAAATTTTAGTAAAAAAAAAACTCGTTTGACTCTTGAAATTCAAGCTCTACCACATAAATTAGGACGAAGGGAGTAGTAGACTAGTATGATAACAATAAGTAAATACTAAATAGTGCAAAAATATTTCACCAATGCCCCATTTTATGTCTAATTTCATTTTGAATTTTTTTCTAAATTGTTTATCTATATAAAAATTAAAGGGTCACTATTAGAAATTCGGCAAAAATCGACCGCGGTCGACCAACCGAAAAAACGTCCGAAGTCGGTCGGTGTTTCAATTTTTTTTTTTTTTTTTTACGAAACCGACCAACTTTGGTCGATTTTCTTTGGTGCAAAAATGAGGGAAATTATTTTGCGTCCCGCGTTTTTTTTTTTCAAGAAACAGACCAACTTTGGTCAATTTTTTATTTAAAATAAATTAAAATTAATATTAAAAAAATTACCGAAATCGGTCGGTTAATTCGACTGGTCATTTCAAAAGGTAATTTTATTTTTTAATAAAACCGACCGACATTGGTTGATTATTTTCGCGCGAAAATGCAATTGAAGAGTATAAATAACATAAAAGACAATCTTAAAACAAAATGCACCAATGGCCTAGTAGTAGAATAGTATCCTGCCACAGTACAGACCCTGATTTGATTCCCAGATAGTGCATTTTTTAATTATATAATTAAAATACCGATCCACTTCGGTCGGTTTTTTCGATAATTTTTTTCTTTTTTGGAATTTAACTGACCGACCGAAATCTGTCGAAAAATATCGATCAAAGTCAGTCGGTTAGCTCTACTTACCTTACGATAACCGACCGCCATGAATCAGTCGGTTTTTGATCGATTTTTGCCCATTAACGACCAATATCGTACGGTTTTGATGGTCGGTTTTTCTCGTCTTTTTTGTAGTGGGTATTTCTCAATTGAAGTTTGAACTTAACTATCTATGTAAATATTAAAGGGTATTCTTTTCAACTTGAGAATGAAATATCGATGATTAAAACTAAAGCAATATATTCTTTAAACTAAAGATATGGAGTAAAAACAAAGGGCAAAGATTTTACTTCCCCTTCTTTATTCTTTAAAAGACAAGAGTAAACGTAAACGTAAGTAGAGTTATAATTATTGCAATGACTATTTATTTGATGCTTCACTAATGGTCCATTATATTTACTAGATATAAATGAATGGTCCTATTATTATTCAATTTACATGGAGAAAAAGTAAGTCTGAATCAATCGTTTTCTCCCAATAAGCATATTAAATTAATTTATTTAAATTTTGGAAAAGGAAGAATAAACTTGAAAAATGTAAGAATATGTAGAAAACTTTCAAGCAATGGATAAAAAATAAGAAATTAATCATAATTAAGTGATGTCCAAAGGCAGATTTAGGGCGGGCATTGTGGAAAGTGTTTAATCATGCCGGGCGTTTATATAAAATCAACCAATTTAATATTAAAAGAATTAAATTGTAAAAATT